TTGTCGTAGGTCGTTTTTCTCATTTGGAGGCCGGTTTTCGGTTTTCGGAGCCGTCGGCCGTGTGCCTCGGTTCGGAACCGCTTAACTACCTCTGATTGCTTTGGTTTTTGGCACACATCTTATTTCCTCCCTTTAGAGGGACACTGTGGCCCTGGAGACCACCTTCGTGGTCATACGCCAGTTCCGGTGCCTAACAGCCTGTTTTCGGGGCCTCGAACCGCGTGTTTTGGCCCCCGAACCTTCGTTTTGCATTCGTTTTGGTCCATTTTTGGTAGGGACCCTATTTTCACTATTAGGGAAGTGGTAGGATGGTGGCCAGCCACCTCTTGTAACGCCCTCAAATTAAAAGCATTAAACCCATTAAATAAGACACCGCTTGACAAGACGAAAAGAAAAATAAAAAAAAATCTAAACGAGTCCAAAAAAGACAAATTATTTTGTTTATTTTGGCATTTTAATTTTTTTTTATAGAATTTTTTGTAAAAAAGTTATTTTTTAGATTTTTCAACACAAGACAGATTAGAAAAGTTTTTTAAAAAAAAATGGCATAATTTTATTTTAAAAAAATACTCAAAACCGAGAGGTGACTTTTTTAAGTGTTCCAAACACACTACATTGGGATAGAAATTTACCCTACTGAATTCGGATGGGACGACCACTCAGCCGAAAAGAAGCTTCCTATCACCAAATTTAAGGATGAGATAAGACTGGATCATTAGCCATTAGAGGGAGAGAGGGAGAGACATCCCCCAAATGATAATGGAGTGTGGAAAAATAATTACAAATTAATAAAAAAAATTATAAATATTAATAATTAAATTTATAAATTTTTTCATGAATTTGTATTTTTTTTCTGACACCATTGTCAGGTAATGATCCTTAGCAAGGGAAATTATCACATCAGTGGGGTGTGAAAAAAACAATTACAAATTAGTGAAAATTTTTATAAATGTTAATAATTAAATTTGTAAACTTTTCCATGAGTTTGTATTTTGTTTTCCCGACACCACTGTTAGGTAATAACCCCAATGCAAATCACCTTGTTTGGAAAAAAAACTCATACTGAGGCCAAGTTTGGCTACAAAGAAAAAAGCGCACTTATTTCATCTTTTTATCTTTTTTGGGTTACATCAATCAACATCTCCTCTTTACTTTTTCTACACATAATACAAAAAAAGTCAAAAAGTACACTTATTTAGTCTTTCCAAACTAGGCCTGAATGTGACATAATGGTAGGGTATTCAATCACTGCCAGCTTTCGATCTTGGTTTCCCATTGACTTTTTTTAATTAATTTTTTTGTATTGAGATTTTTTTAATCGCGTTTTATTTGATTTATTTAGCTTTTTATATTTTTTTAGCCAAAAATCAAATGTCAAATGAAGCTTAAGTTTTCTCCTTCAAAAGTCATGGATCCAACCAACGAAAAACAACCAACTGTTGTGGGTTGCTTTTAGACAGCGGGAGAATCTATTTGCATCCAAAAAATCATTAAGGATGTATTATTTTTTAGTACATTTTATTAAATTATTTAGGTCCTGTTTGATTCCAGAATATAAAGGGTATGATTAGATATTATATAATGTAGGATCCACATATCCCATTTTGTAATTTTTATTTTTTATTTTTATAAAGAGGATATAATATACTATAGGATTGTATATTTCCAAAATCGGTGGATATACAATACCACTCTCCCCTCATTATATCATATCCCTTGGATTGAGATATGATTTAAAAAGTTCAATTTACCATCTTATCTATCTAATATATACACACATTAGGGTTTAACAAAACATATGCGGCTCAATACATCCAGTAGAGAAAAGAGCTCTGGTTTTACAAGTGTAAATCTACTCGATTTTCTGGCCGATTTTCGGTGGCAAAGCTTCTTTCTGGTGATAATCATCGTTTCCCTCTACTTGGCTATCTTTTTTTTTTTGATTTTCTAGTTTTGAATTTTCCTTGTATGATTTTTATCTAAAGCATTTGTGACCCTTTTCTGATTTTTGTTCAATCTGAACTTTCTAAACCCTTTTTTTATTTTATTTATACAAGGGTTTGTTCAATCTGATTTTTTATTTGTTCAATCTGACCCTTTTTGTAATCTTTGACAAAATAGTGGGTATGTTATCTCTATTTTATTGTTTGTGGGTATATTGATCATGTCTATGTTGTTGTTGTTGTTGTTTTTTTTATTTTTTTGGTGACTTTGATTCAAGTAATAATAATAATAATACCTTTTTAGTTTTTATTTGAGCTTTTTTGTTTGAAATCAGAGGATTGAGAGAGGTTACATATATTAACTGATTTGCTTTAAATTTTTTTTTTTCTTCTCATTCTTGTACATATATGACTTGTGGTTAATAGTGTTCATTTATACAAGACAATAAAAATTTGTTTGTTTTGTATGTAAAAATGTAGGAATTTGATTGAATCAAACTCTTCACATAAAAATAAAAAATAAAATAAAATAAATCTATGAAGAGTTTGATTTTTTTTCACGTAATCAGATTTTTATATATTGGGAAAAGTAGTTTAAAGATTAGTTTTTGTTATAGTTGAATAACCGTTCTTCTTCAATGCTTCTTGTTTTTATATGTTCTTAATCTGAAAAATAATTATGCATCTATATATAAACAAAAAATATTAATTTATAAATATAACATAAACAATGAGAAATCTGGTTGTTTGTACATGACAAAAAAAATTAGTTCTAAAATTTTTTTAAAAAAAAATTTAACCTAAAAATATATGATTGGTCTAGAAAATTATGTCAAAAGTTTGATTTTTGTTGTAGCTTAATAATCCTTCTTATTGAATGCTTCTTGTGGATAAGATTATTTTCTATCAAATCTGATTGTTGACGTGAAGCTGCTGTGAACAGTAGTTAGCATTGATTTAGTTATCTATTTGATTGCTTTAGTTATTTAATTTACTATTGCTCTATTTCTTTTCATAGATGGCAAATAATAAAAGATTTGATGGGAGGAGGGGCCTCATTGAGGCCTATGTTGCCCTGCAAGATACTTGTTTAAAATGATTTTGTGGTATTAATTTATTATTATTATTATTATCAGGTTGACATTGATATAATATAATATATATATTTTTTGGTTTGGAAAAATTATTGAATTTAATATGAATCTTTAATTTGTTCAAATAAAAAATAATATGAAATTTTAATTTGTTTATATGCATTAATTTTGCATGTGGTGTTATTTTTTCCTAAACTGAACAATGTCCCTTTTAATGAGCATAAGGGCAATATGGGTATTTAAAATATATTATGAGGGCAATCTTGAAAATTATTTGTTTATATCTCACAATATATTTTGTGATAATATATATCCAGTCTTATATATCAAGTCAACAAACATGAATTGAGAGATATATTATCTAATACATATATCTTATTAATTATATATCCTGACTAAATCTCATATCATATTATATTCTCCATTTTATATCCAGTGAACAAACAGGGCCCTAGGATTATAATTTCCTCTCAATACACCCTATGTTTTTTCGCAAATTACCCTTCAAAGTACACTCAAATAATAAATAAATCAAAAATTTCAAATTACATTACTTTGAAAAACCCAATCATAAACCCTTAAACAAATTTCCCATTATAATTATCCATTTTACTCACAAACAAAGCACCATTGGTATGAGTTGTTCTATATGACATCATATTTACTTCTATGTGTTTCTATTATATTAGTAATAACCCCATGAAATACTTGGTTGAAAAACCCCCATGATAATTCCATGAAGATTGAAAAACATTTTTGTTGTTGAACCTCCATGGCATCTCTGAATGACCATCTAGCAATTCCCAAGAACTAAAGCTTTCCAGAATAATACTAGTTGATGTTTGATTAATTAAATGAGACATTACGTATTTTTCGATTTGATTAATTGAACAAGATACTATTTATTTATTTATTTATTTTTTATTTGATTAATTGAATAAAAAAATTATTGTGTTCTTGACAATTCCCAGATTTTTTTTTATTTTTTTTTAGCACATATTATTTTGTTCTTGTTTTGTTCTATTTGTAAGTAACAACACAATAAGAAATAATAATATTGATGATAATTGTGAGTTTTGATGAAATGGATTGGAGTTATGAAGCGAGAAAAAAGCTGAAGAGAAAATAATTAAAACTTGAAAAAAAAATAAAGAGCATTGAATATGAAAAATACATATAAGTGATTTGGGTGCCATGAGAAAAAAATAATATCTTATTTTAGGGTTTAATTGATATTGTCCTTATTAATTTATTAATAAATTTATATTAAGGTGTAATAAGAATTAAAAATTCAAAATTTTTATTGAATGTACCGACTTATTATTTGGCTGCAAATAGAATCACCCTCAGACGGCAGAAGTCCTCCTAGAAGAAATCTACATGGGTTGGTTATTGGCTGTTGGCCTACTTCAAGGATAAGACTTGTCTCCAAGTAATGGTGCTCACTGCTCAGTATCATCAGTCAAAAAACTAAACTAATCATTCAATTTTGCATCATTAGCATAACAGGAGGATTCCACGGAAGATTTAAAAGAAGAAGCATTTTACCAGAGTTTTGATGTATCATTTTGTTGAGTCACATCATAGCATTATGCATTTGAATCCTGAATAAGCGGGAGAAAAAAAAGAACCAAAAAAATGAGGTGTTCTGCTTTATGTGTTTCCAAATGTCACCTTCATTAAATAATACCAGTGGGTGAACACATAGTGTGTAATTCAAATAAGTTAAAATAAAAACAGATAATAAAGAATTAATACTATAATATATATGTTGTCCAAGTGATAATAATTTTTTTTGAATAAAACCCAAGATTTTGGGTTCAAATCTTCTTCATCCCAATTTGTAACTTTTTATTTTAGGATAAAAAAAGTTGTCACATGCCGTGACGTGAAGGCTTGGATATCAAGTCTAACAACCTTCACTTAATAATAGTATAAAATGATAGATAAATACCAAATTGACTAATGAGAATTGGGATTTGACAGCAAGTGAGCTTCTTTACCCCCCTCAATGATTGATATCACATGGCCTTTATGGTCCCTACAAGTCTCACAATTCAGCATGGTTAGCTAAAATTACTGGGCAGACATAGGAGACTTCATCTTCATACATATCCCATCCATTCTTATCAAGTGCTTTGGATCCTGGGTTTCCATTTTTTATATAATTTTCTCATCTATCGTATGTATCTGATGGGTCGTTGAACACACTAAAATTTAATACTAAATTATACCAAATTCTATCAGAATAATGGCAAGTCCAAGTATCGATCCACAGAGACTATTGTGAAATTAAACTAATTTAATTGTTAAATTGTTAAATTAATTTTGAGAAAAAGATTGAATGATCATAACCTAATTTAATAACAAATAAATTAAACTAAGGAATTAAATTATCAATAATAAATAAAATTGGATTTACTAAATTGGGAAAAAATCCTAGGGTAAAGAATTCACCACTAACCACATAATTAGGGTTTCCAATTGAAATTAATTATGCTACGGTTTGAACGAATTAATGCTTCACAACTACAAGCTCAAAGCATTTAACAAGAAGATTATCACATTTAATGTACGAGCACGAACCATCTCAAGCAATACGAATCGTTCACTCTAAACTAGGGTAGTGATACGACTCGTTCCTCGTAGCATGGTTCGTCCCATACCTTGAATGTGAAGGAATAGAAAACTCATGTATGGATAATATTCAACAATCACAGAAAGTCAAATATTTGAAAAGATAATGAAGATCATATATAAAGAATTTCTAAAACACCATACAATGGTTCAAACCTTTACATAATTTAAAATCAAAAAAAGAAAACTACATAATTACATGGCTAGGGTTTCATCAAAACCCTAGAAAAGAAGACTAGCCACTCATGGAGGAGTGGAAGGAAGTAGAAAGAGAAGGAATCACCATGGGAGACATCCTTGAAGCTTTTTGTTTCTTCCTCTTTTGCAAACCCTAGCCTCCCTCTTTAGGTCCAAACAATTTCAGAACCCTAATCCAGCCTTTTTCTTGTCTTTTTATGCTTCCAATCTCGTCCAAACAGGTTTAAAACGTCGGTTTGACTTTCCCAGAAAAAGTCAACGCACGTGCGAGAAAGTCAACTCTGCCCAAATTCTGACTTTTTGCTCATTTTATGCTCCGACGATGTATAACCTGATTGACACTCAACACACATAAAATATACAGTTTAACCAACAAGTGAAGTTAAGAGATTCTAATTAACGGCCTCAATGATGTACATTTCAACCTTAATCAGTATCTGTAGAGAAATGATCGTGTTCCTCTAGTAAATTTTTAAACTCCGCAACTTCCCCGTCTCCTTTCCCTTTCAAGTATTCCAAACATCCAGCAAAAGTGGGAAGGTCTGGTTTCCACCCCGGAATTGGATGACTAGCCAGGATAGCTTTCTTCAAAGTGTCCACAGCCTTTTCCATATGATTATATTTATTATATCCAGCGGACAAGCGTTCCCATGTGCCAGTATTTGGCTCCTTCCCGCTCTCTATAAGCCTGTTTACAATCGATTCTGCCTTTTCCAGAAGACCCTTTCTGCAGTAAGCACTGATCATCAAATTAGGGACCCGAAAATCAAAACATGTCCTATTGATTTCCCACTCCTCAAATAACTTCTCCATTCCATCAAGGTCATCCAACTTCCCCAGTGAGCTCAACATAGAAATGTAGTTTGTATTGTAAATTTTCCCACTTTTCTTGCACAAATTCCACATATGATACACCTCATCTTTGTTCCCCATGCTAGCATAAAGTGTCAGTAGGAATTCATAAGCATGTTTTCTTGACTTAACAGTGATAAGTTGCTCTGATTTCTTCAACGTTGAAAAACCCTTTTCCACTAAACCGGCTTTCAAGTACCCATTTGCTGCAATAACATAAGCATTCCAGTCCATAGAGATAACAGGATCAGCTTCCATTTTCATTAAAATCTTCTCCATGCCCTTGATGTCAGAAGTGACAGCATGTGAGTTTAACAGTATGCTGAATGTGAATTTATCACAAGCAATGCCCTTCTCCTCCATCTCTTGAACCAGGGAATCTATTTTCTTGTGCTTCCCCATCTGGGAATAGAGTTTCAGCATAACGTTGTACACAAGTGGTGTTCTAGAACCCAGCTCCCTCATCTTCTGCATTGTGGCCTCAGCTTTCTCCAAGGATTTTGCATGGGCATAGCAATTTAAAAGAGCACCATAAACAGGGAAGACTCTCAAGGCATTTGGTATGTGGTTAAAATAATCCTCTGCTTGTTCTAGTCCATGAACCTTTGAAATCAAATCCAACCGAATTGCAACATCTCCAGGGAACAGGTCAAAATAACTTTTGTCACTCATCCATTCAGATACCTGACATGAGGACAGGACAAATGAATCAAAGAAGAGCAATCAGATTTAAGTAGCTCAGCAATTGTAGTAAACAATGGAGAACGAAAGTTCACATGACAGATTTATAGATATAGGTAAGGCTGGCTATATTGACTATACAAGGTTCAGACCACATGGTGGCTAATCAAAACATAAGTGCTTTCATTCATTTGATTTTGTTCCACTCTAGAAGTGTTGTTTCACCATTGACACCTGTGCCATTGCATCTAAAGTAATTAGTGTTCCTAGCTATAAGCATATATGCAGTCCAACAGACATGCCGCCGGAAAGTCTAGGACAGTAATGTCCAACCTTTTCCCCAAATTTTGTAGTTTCAACTGTCTTTACTTTTTACCACAAACAGACAAAAGAAAATAAAAATACAAAAATAAAAATCTCCTTACTTCGCTACTATGTTTAATTCATTATGTTAACAGCTATCCTTACTTGGCTGCTATGCTTATTAATGGTAGCAAGTCAATAAATGGTTTAATTTTTGTATAATCTGTAAATCATTAGTAACCCTGTCATTCTAACTTCAAACTCTCCATTTAGTTTGAGGCAACAAAATTTTTAAGTACTGGGAAAACCCAAAAACAATATATTGGACATAAACTTCTTAAAATCCATTTCCTGTAGTTTTGAAGCATTTGGAATCAAGAGGAAGGTCACCAATCCCATGTTTGGCCCCATTGTGGACTCCATCTTCCACTTTGTCGGCTGGAGTTGCTTCCATGATCGAACACCAGTGCAACTTCATAAACTTTTTCTCAAATTTCTCATCATTTTATGACTCAACCATCTATTTTGTTCTTACTGAAATCTGCCAAGAAAATAACCTGTTGCTGACACCTGACACGATCAAAATTATTTCAAAGTAGTTGCAATGGCAGTCTTTCTCTTCTAAAATATAGGTTATTGTATATATAACCTCACACTCCCCAGAAGTTCTACTTCTCTATCCCATCTGGAATTACATTAAAGCATGAATCAGTTCAATTTGGAAAACATAGCATAAATTTTGGCTTTTCCTATAAAAATTTCTTTCCTAGAGCCTAACACAACACAACAAAGATCTAGTCTCTAGATTATTTAAATTTAGATTTTTTTTAAATGCTAAATTAGTGCTAGTTTTCATTAATTTGGGTTGTTTAGACCATCTCCAATCCTTACTGATGAAAATGGTGCTCCAACCATTTCAACCATTTCATCAGTTTGGTAACAGATGAAAGAATCGGTACCTCTCATCAAATGAAGGAAGCGTTTATCCCGTCATTAAAATCCTGTCATTAAATATGTGGTTGACTGTTAAGCCGGACGGCCTCCCGGACAACGGGTTTTGGGATGAATTTGACGAAAATTTACTATAGACGGACAACCGGCCAGATTTGATGAAAGGGTTGAAGTGCATTGGATCAAATTTTTACTCAAATTTGATGAAATATCTGATGAAGGATTGGAGATGCTCTAATAGATGTAGTATTTATATACATAGCAAATAAAATTGGGAAAATTGCAATTAAAAGAAAATCTCTTTAAAAAATTGGAAATCAATATGGGCATAAAAAAACCAAGAAGAAGGGCATGTCTGTGTGTGTTCTAGAGAGAGAGAGAGAGGGTTGGGTACCTGCAGAGCGTGCTTGAAACGCCTGAATTTTCTGAGTAGTTTGATGATCATTTGAAGTTGTTGGTGCTCGATGACTCTTCCTTCTCTGACCCATTGATGGAGAATTGGTTCGATTGAAACCCTAGGGTCCCCAAGGGGTGAAATCCTACTATACAGAGTGTCCCTTGAACTTGAAGAAGAAGAAGAAGATGAGCAAGCAGTTAGGGTTTCGGTACAGTATAAAACCCTTGCAATGCCACCATGTTTACACCATGTGCGCGATTGAAGCAGCCTCCTCATCATCATCATCCTCATCCGGGTACAGAGAAGAAGAGAGAGAGCAAAAAACAAAACAAAACAAAAAAACATCAACTCACATCAACTCTTCACTGCTTAACCCCCCAAGTCCGGATCGTCGGCCGTGTTTGCCTGCGGCACTTTCCAGCGGCATCCTAAAACGTCGTCGTTTTAGACCTTTTTTTTTTTTTTAAGCCTCTTTTTTCACTTCTTCATTTTACTTCACAGATAGCCGTAACACCACAAAAACTATCCCGTTTGTTTTGGGAGATAGAATTGAAGGGATTGATAGTGAGAAAATTGTTAGTGAAATGATTAATAGTGAGGAATTATTAAATTATTTTTTATATAAAATAATAAAAAATATAAAAAAATAAACATTATATTTAAAAAAAATTCTCAATATATAAAAAATAAAAAAAATAATTTTTTTTAATCCCCTCTTTATTTTTCTAATACCATCTTTACCTCATCCTTACCAATCCCCTTTCCTCCTCCTTACTAATACCAAGAGATTACTAATCCATTCCCTATCTTTCAAAACAAACACCTCATTCTCAATTCTCTCCTCACTATCAAACCCAATCCCCTTCCCATAACCCCAAACAAACGGGATTAAGGAAACCAGACTCTCTCTCTCTCTCTCTCTCTTCAACCCTTTGCTGTATCACTCATAATCTTGAGCCCTCTTTTTCACTTCATCATTTTTACTTCACCAATAGCCAAAACACTACAGAAATTTAAGCAAAACCAGACTTTCTCTCTCTCTTCAACCCTTGCTATATCAGTCATAATCTTGAGCCCTAACTGTTGTTCCAATGTAACTTTTTTGTCTTCAAAATACTCCCCCTCTCTCCTCAATCAGGGCTCCACATACCATCATGTGACCATAGTCAAAAAGCTCACATACATTCCACAGATTCGAAAAACACAAACGCACACCAACCAAACCAAACCCAAAACCCTACAATTTGCAAATCACAAACCCATTATAAACCCCCAATTTCAACTCCAACAACCTGCTCATCAGAAATGGAGGTAACTTTCTTCGCAAAATCAAAGCCCTAACTGAAGAGAGAGAGAGAGAGAGCTCACATAGCCAAAACACCATAGAACTATAAGCAAAACCGAAAAGACGAGTCGGTCGCCAACATGAAGGTTGCCATGATGAAGTGCAAAAAGGCTGAAAAGCAAAAGAAGATGAAAAATTATTAAAAACAAAAATGTCCAAAACGACGTCGTTTTGGACTGTCGCAGGAAGCACCGCAAGCAAGCGCAGCCGACGATCCGGACTCTAACTCCCCCTTCCATTTAAGGGTTGTTTGGGAGGATCTAAATAGGTATACTTTTTATCTTTTTACGAAAAGATGTACAGAAAAGTAGAGAAGTGATGTGATGGAAAAAAGATAAAAAGATGGATTATATAGGGATGCCAAACCACCCCTTTATTTAAATTTTGTTAATTCCTTCAACTTTCACATTAAATTTTTATCAAAATCTTTTTCAAAATTCTTTTCTTATCCTAAAGTTTTCCTTTCATTAAATCTGATATAAAATATATATAGGCCTCGTTTGAAAAGTGACTATTTTTTAGGCTTTTTGACTATTTAACTATTTTAGTAGGCTATTTTAGTTTGTGTGTTTGGGAAGATGGATGAAAATATTTTGAAATGATTGTATTGGAGAGAGTGTTTGATATGATGTTTTGTTATTAAATTACCAAACTGCCCCCAGATCACCAATGTAGCAGCCGTTGATCTCAGTTCAGCAGAAGGCTTCACGTGGACGTACGGACTGCACGTCAGTCCTTGTTTTGTCCAAGTTGAATTTTAATTGAAATTCTAACTTTAATTGAAAAAAAAAATAAACGATATTTTTACCCATTGTTATTTAATTGAAAAAAAAAATATTGTTACTTTTAATTGAAAAAAATAATAAACAGACCTGGGTAACAAAAAAATAAAAAGGATTATTATTTATTTTAATTGAATTGTAATTTTTAACATGTACAGCTAACAAAAAAATATATGTAAAACTTATACACAATTAATTACATATATGAACACACCTTCAGTCATTTATTAAACCTGACTCATTAATATAATTTATAATTCTTTTGAAATTTATAATTTATTAATAATCATCAGTTTATAATGAATTATATTAATGTGAAAAATACATATTTTTCTCCAATTATTTGCTTGTCAATTAATTTTATTTTTCAAATAAAAATTCGGAATTTACTTTTTTCCAAATAAATTTTGTGTCCATTACATTTATTTGAATTTTTTTTTCCAATAATTTGTTTTCAATTTCTGTTTTGAACTATTTTTCTTTTCCAACTATTTTGTTTTCAATATTTTTTTTTGGGAGTAAATTTTTTTCCCCAAATAAAAATATTTTTTTTCTGTAACTATTTTGTTTTCATTTTTTTTTTCAAGTAATTTTGTTCCAACTATAATGTGTATGCTCTCATTATCATAAATAATAAATATTAAATTGAAATATATTTTTGGCTTGACAGCGAACTCTTTTCTTTAGTTCATGTTTACAAAAAATTGAAAACATTTTGTCAAAATCTATTAAAAATTAAATATGAATTTCTATGTTTTTCTACAAATAAAAAAAAATCAGCTTAAAAAATTATTGAATTTGTCAGAAATTGAATAAATTACCAATAAAAATTATGAACTACATTTCAAAAAAAGAATGCAATTCTTTGTCATGAAATTTGACTGGGAGTCAAATGTCAAAGGCATCCAATAGGTGCAAAATTGAATGAAACTAAAGGACGATCTAGTTAATTAAAATTTATAAGTACATTACAAACATTGAAGCTACTGCAGTTCGAAATAGTATGCATTACAAATAGGAACATAAGTCCAATGGCTTGCTACGTGGGTCACATTACATAACATAAAGAAAACATCGAAAAGAGCATATTCACAATAGTCCCAAACTGCGTATGTAAAACAAATGGTCGTATATACGAACATGAACTTTTGCCATATTCACATTTGTATCCCCAACCATGAGCCCATCATCGAGATTTTGTTCGCCGGCGTGAACGTCGGGCATGTCATCCGGCGTTGATGAAACAAAATAATGTCTGTCATTGCCCAAGGCAACTATCTCGTGTCTACGAATGAAATTGTGTAAGGCCATTGATGCACCGACCAATGGCACTTGCACCGTCACGAAATCATAGTCCGGCATGTTGTGCAGGAACTTCCACCGAGATTTCCACACTCCAAAAGTCCTTTCCACTACACTCCTTAGTGATGCATGCACTTCGTTAAACATTTCTCTCAGGTTATCGGGTTGTCCATGTTCCCGAAATTGTACTTGATGATACCAAGACCCTTTGAATGGTGCCAGGTACCCATTCTTGTTTGGATATCCCGCATCAACAAGGTAATATTTACCTATAGTTAAATAAAATAAAATAAAAAAAACAATTATATACACGTGACATAAACCCCAACTAGTACTGAATTTGAAATATGTTACCTTCTTGTGGGTGCGGAAACGGTGCACGCTGATTTTCAATTACTTTCTTAAAGATGCGACTGTCATGCATGCTTCCATCCCAGCCGCATGAAATAAAAATAAAGCACATGTCAAAGTCGCATACAGCTAGTATATTTTGGGTTGGATAACCTTTTCGGCCATAATATGTGCCCGCATCACGGACAGGCAACACAGCTTGTACGTGAGTTTCATCCAACGCACCTATACAATTCTGCCATAATAGAACACATCACAACTATTAAATTGAACACCGCATTGTACGCAAGTGTTCTTAACGACAATTAAAATTTTCTTCACCTTGAACGGTATGTATTTGCCTCTTGACCACAATTTGGGATGCCTACTAGTTTGAGCTCTGGTTGGCTTGCAATGCTGTTCAATGAACAACATCATTGCATCCAACACTGCATGAAAATGTCGAGAAACCGTTTCTCCCGAGCGTTGAAACCACTCTTGAATGCTTCGGTTTTGGTAGTCGGCCAAGGTATGTATGAACATGGCAACACTTTCTTCAATGTGTAACCCATGAGGTCTTTTAGGTACCCGTAAACCAAAATCTCGTCGTAATGTATGACATAACGCGTTAAACACATACAGAGGCATATGCAAATTTTCTTCACCCCTACCCAAGTGTCCATCAAATAATTTTTGAATCCATGCATGACCGGTTAAAATTGAAGTTCGATATGGGATCTTGTCCATGTACTTTATGTAATATTCCATTGCATGCCGCGCTGCTTCAACGATTACATCATTCCTTGGTCCTCTTGTTCTTTTGCTTGCTCGATTAAGTAATCATCATTATTTTGATACAGATTGCTACATTCACCGTTCCACATATCAAAAGTGTTGAACCCTACAATGCACACAACACAGCATTAATTACGTTGACCATGTAGTCTTATCCTTCGTTAAACTAATGCACCAAATAAAAAAGAATGGCAACACCTATGCATACATCCACATTTTCTTACAAACCATAAAGAAGAATGCAGTCAATGAAATTGAACAATTCTAGATATGAATGCTGGTATAGTCAACACAAACCACGCTTTGATGAAGCAATACTGCATAAAATGTTCGACATTAGGTCCGCATCCATTCACCCAAAAACATTAATATTAACTAACAGTACTGATAATCGAAGCTACCAAAAAGCAAAATAAAGAAACAAAACAGCACAAGTCATGTCCACAAACACCCACAATGGTTTCCATTTTCCCCAAAAACAACAAACCACAGTTCTCACAGTCCTTTGGAGGCCTTCAATGCTGCAAGCCAAGCGACCACATTACCATCATCAGGCATGCACATTAGTATCTCATGGTAATCTGCATTCTCCAAAGCAATGCAGGCAAAGTGGAAAAGAGGCATACTGAGAAAGTCGGGTATAGCCATATTCCTCTGCATGCATGCCTCAATGCCATACTTCTGAGAGGCACCAATTCCATGCCTGATCGTAAGGTGCTTCTGTGAACGAACAGCCTCGGATAGATGGTTGAAACTGTCTGCAAGCACTGATG